AGAGAGAGAGAGAGAGAGAGAGAGAGAGAGAGAGAGAGAGAGAGAGAGAGAGAGAGAGAGAGAGAGAGAGAAGGGAGGCGGAGTCGTAGCTGTACAAATGTGAATAATGAGTTTCACCTCACTCTAGTGCCATCCCCTCCACCAGCCTACAAGCCCTCCCCCTGCATGCATTTTATGTGCGTCCGATGAATACGGTTTCTTTCCAGTCTGGGTGGCAGATAGAAAAATAATGTGCTATTTCTTTGAATCAGGAGAGGATGCTTGAAGATTTGGGCCCAGTGGAGACAACAAGGTATCCTGGCCCAGAGACGCCAGCGCCGCCCGGTTAGCGCTGCACCCCACGCGCTAATTTCCTCCAACCGCGCCTGGTAGTGGAGACAACAAGGTATCCTGGCCCAGAGACGCCAGCGCCGCCCGGTTAGTGCTGCACCCCACGCGCTAATTTCCTCCGACCGCGCCTGGTACCCGAGTTTTCTCATGCGGCTAAGCGACACACACGATGGGTTGCGGGTTTCCCGCCCTTTTGCGCTTCATGAGGCGAGTGTGAAATCAGTCTTGCAAATCCACACTCAAACATGCATGCAACAGATGAGAATAGCCTGGCGCTGTGCACCCAACTCAAACTCGGAGATATGGTAGCTTGCAACTCAACTCAAATCCGAATTTACTTCAGTTGACTATGGCGCTGGGCGCCCACACTTACACGTTCGACTCAGAGTTCACACGCAACTCGACTCCGGATCACCCTGGATACCATGCACGCTAACCACTGCACACACACATACACACTCACTAACTATCTATGGCTATGGCACAAGGCCTCTAACAGCTAACTAGCCTATCACTAACTACTGCCCTCTTCGTCTTCAGGCCATCTGCAGACCTCCCTTGCACAAGACGCCCGAGCAGCGCTTCCGCAGAGCTTCCGCAGGAATGAATGAATGGCTGGACGCAGCCTCTGGATTTATACTTCTGCGTTGCATTCGTTTGCCTTGCATCCCTGGCCCATGAGGCACACAGTCCCCCCCGTGGTACTTGCTGGACCGGACTGGTACTTTCTAGACTTTCCCATGACTGCATAGTGACAACCCTACTACGCAGTGCAGTTGCACTGGGGTCCTACTATTTGCCCTTGCCACTTGTCCTCGTCTCCAACATGGGCTTGCTTTAGTCACACCACTTGACCACTTGCCAACCTTCTAGAAGGACTGCAGCTGGACTTCTACTCTACAGGTCTATGGATCAAATCCTGGCTACCTAAAGA